ATGAGATCTCTTTGAAAAAGAGCGGGGGGGGGGGGACGGGAGAGAAGGTTCATGGGGGCCCGCGATGGAAGGAAGATGGTAGCATGGGTCGCGTGGTGAGAGCGTGGTTCTGATGACTCAGAAATTCCTGGAGCCGGACTTGACAGGCGAAATGGGTCAGACGCGGTGCACTTAATAAAGCCGGAATAACGCGGCGCGATGTGGCGGAGCCCGGTCCGATTACCATATGAATTGGTGGAGCACTGTGAAAAGGAGCGTAGAGCGGTCGCGCGCTATCGTCCCGTCTATCCTTTTGTGTGTGTGGTCCAATGCGTGTGCCCGTGGCTGTGACTGTGGCTCTGGCTTTGGCTGTCATCGATTGTCAGCAGCGCGGCTAGCTTGACGAGCTATCGTTCACTTCTCTGTCAACGCGCGCTTCGCTCACACGCGCCAGCGTCGAAACGAGCGACCGCGCCTTTGCTTCTTTCTCAACCGGTTCCACACATACACACATACACACACACATCGTGTGTCGTCTCGCCACGAGACGTTATTGCGCTATCCTCTCTTCCTAGGCTTTCTTCTTTTATTCGTCTTTTTTACGTTTTCGCTATCGTCGCCAAGATATTCGCGGTTTACTAGGCCGTAACAGTTGGAACTTCGAGGTGGAAAGGTCGCTGTGGAACGTCGTATAATTCGTCGACGTGTTCCTCCAGCAGAAATATTCCCAGCTATGATATGTTTAATAAACATTCAATGCTTTAAACTCTTATACGCACTGGCGACGTGTGAGTATATATTGAGGAAGTTGAACCGTACAGCGTTTAGTGGAAAATTATTATACGATTTTGACACATTGATCGAAACACACGCACGCGGTTCAGGTTTTTTTCCTTTATTTGCTCGTGCATCAGTTGCAATTTGCTGGGCGATAATTGATGTTTGCGCAACGCCCGGTGGTTTACAAACCGATTCTTCACAACTCGTTGCAAACGCAAGAGCAAGAGTCGTTAACGTGTCAAAGTGTCGCGTTGTCCTCTTTTTTCTCTTTTCTTTCTCTTTGAGGTAGCAGGATATTTCCATCTCAAAACAGAAATAAGCTAGGAAGGGTCTGCCGAATCTATATGAGACTAGAAGTTGAAATATTTTCGAAACGAGTAATTGTATTAAAAAAAAAAAAGTTAAAATGGTTTTTCGAGAGGAGCATGAATAGAAATTTGTTCTTTTTTTAAGTGAAATCGTGTATCTTTTAATGCATTATTCGATTCGGTTTATCATTTTCTGTAAAATCGAAAGAGATTAGTTCAGGAGATATTTTAATTAAAATTAAAATAAAATCGGAGATAGTTATATTAAAATAAAAATAAAATAGTAGTATATATTAAAATAAAGATAAAATAGTAGTATTGCTTGTAGAATATCGAATTTATCTATAATATTAGTAAATATTAATATTAATATAAATTAGTATAATAAAATAGTATCTAAAATATTAGTAATAATTAGTATTGTAAAACGTTTATTAATTATTTATTGTGATTATAGAATAAAATAAATATTTCACTGAAAATGAAATCTAATCTTAAACTATGTTAACATCAGTCATATTATTTCCCTATTTTTCGACAATTCGTTGACGCGTGTCTTCGTTGTTCATCAACGTGTGACTTTTTCGGTCACGAAATAAATCTAATGGGTTCAAATCTGGCAAACGAATATGAAACTGAGAAATTCGACTTTGAACATCTAATTCAGTTTTTCGCTGTAAGTTGTTTAACACCTGTTTTTTTTTTTTTTTTTTTTTTTTTTTTGTAGAAAGTGACGAGTTGAATCGACGAAGTGATATATTGAAAAGTATACGATTTCACTTCAAAAAGCCTCTATCCACCATCGAACCATTCCAAATTTCTGTCTAAATGGATAAGATAATAGTTTCTTGATACCGTTTCATTTTATTTAAATTATTTTTTTTAAAAATCACTCACTAAATCATATCATTAGATGACA